CGACTAGAACCCGACCCGACCTGAAAATTTTATACCGTCCACCCGACTCTGACTTGACCTGAATTTTTAGAGTATAAATCCGACCCGACTCGATATAAAATAAGGACTTAATTAAAAAAATAATAAAAAATTAAAGGAAATCAAATTATTATCCTCGGGTCGGAGTTTTTTCACCCTCCACGTGACCCGACCTGATTTAACCCTTAAAAATACGACCCGACCCAACCTGAACCTGATTTTTTTATAAAAAAATCCAACCTATCAGATCGGGTCGGGTCGGAACTTGTCGGATTCAGGTTAAATTGCCATCTTTAGTTTTTTCGTACTTGGTGGTGATATATATTCTTGTATGGATTTAATTAACGCTCTACCATTATAGCAGAAAACCTACAGTAATTGAGATAGTGTATATACATGCATTATGCATCAATATGGTTTTTTTTTTCCTCAAGTAAAAACTTATTTTTTTGAAATATATTTTATTAACTGTTGACTATAACTTTGTTATGTTCTAGCGAGCATGGTGGACATTTGAGTGTTCTCATAACTTTTTCATTTCTCAACTTTATATTCATGTCTTGATGATGTGCTTTCCTCGCATTAATTATTATGTTCCCATGAAAACTATTTCTGCTTTGGCCTTTCGTATTTTATTTTAGGCATTAAGAATCTCTAAATGACTATTTGGCCCTGTGTGTTGCAGGAACGTGAGGATGTTGCAGTTGTAAATGATACAGGTTTGATCTTATTTCTTTCTATTTTGCTTCTACTTTGGGTCTTTGACTGTTTAGTTTGAAAATTATAATTATTTATTTATTTGGACATGACTTAAGAGCTTTTGACTGAATGTGTTATACTTTAGATGTAAAATTTTCTTTTAATCTGTGAACTCTTTTTTTTTTTGATAGGAATTGTAGGCCTCATTAAAAACCCCCTTCTTGAATAAGGAACTTATAATGAGTTCCTTCATCAGAGGAAGGAGGAAAAGAGTGCCTTAAACTTCAATAATGAAAATACCTAAGATTACAACAAGAAGATAAGCCCCTTACAACAATTTGAAAAACCCAAAATAAAATACCCCTAAGATACACTGGAATTAGCCAATGGCAGATTTAGCCAACCCATCAGCCTCGATATTGGCTGCCCTAGCAACCCATCTAATAACACCCTCAACTTATATATTGAAAATGTTAATATATATTGAAAATCTGTCTTTTGTATACTTCAATTTATACCTTAATCAACCTTGATACTGCTATTGGGTTGCTAAGTATTTATTTTCTTATCTTTCCTTCCAGAATTTCTGAATGTAGATGATAATGAGCTAGGTGATGATGATGAAGATGACATGCCATGTGGTGATGAAGGTCGTCTTCTTGAAAATAGTGGATGGTCTTCTCGTACCAGGTTTGTAAGCTCCATGTAGTCAATTGTTTTACAGTTTACTTTTTCCCTTTAGTTTCAACGTGAATTTGGAATTACTTATCGAATTATTTCTTGTAGTTGAATAACTGGAATGAGGCTAGCTCACATCTTGATGTTTGGTCATACCTTTTCTTTCAGGGCTGTTGCCAAGTATCTCCAGAAATTATTTGAGGATGAAGCTGTAAATGGACAAAAAGTAGTTTCTATGGACGGTCTATTGGGTCGTAAAACAAGAAAAGAAGCATCGAGAATGTTTTTTGAAACACTGGTATGTCCACTAAACTTAACTATAAAGTAACTTTTAAAACGCACAACACCCATCTATTCGTTAATCAAGGGTAGCATACTAAACCTTGCATGTAAATTAAAGTAAAAAAACCTTCATTTTATCTCTGTTTTTCGTTTATGACGAGCATTACTTGATTTCGGAAAATAAGAAGACATGGGCATGTAAGGAAATCGTATCATTGTAAGCCTGACCTTCCCTGTATACGAGTACATAACTTTTGCACTAGTACTAATACATGATGGATAATAAGATTGAATCTTAAAAAGAGTTGGAAGTAGGAAAGCAAGAATGATGCTGTCCTAGTTAGTTTGATGCTATGGCGTGGAAGAATGTGAACTTATCCTCTTTGTTTCTCGATGTTTGGTTCGGCAACCTGCAGGTTCTTAAAACAAGAGATTACATCCATGTGGAACAGGTGAAACCCTTTGACAATATCTGTATAAAGCCTCGAGCAAAGCTCATGAAATCGAGTTTCTGATAGGAAGGTTGTTTCAGGGAAAAGTGATTTATTGTAGTCTCTGATGCTCAGGCTCAGTCCACGTGGTTAGTTATTTTGTTCAGAATGTTTCTGATACTTAGTTGTTTAGGTCATGGAATAGGTTAGCTTAACTGTGGGGAGGGGATAGCACGTCCTAATGTTGAGTGTATGAAGGTGGATGATAATTTGTATGTATATATAATGTGTAAAATTATATCTCAGTTTTCTGTTGAAGATGCTAGTTTCTTTGTTTTGACTTTGCCCATTTCCTTGACATTCTTATCATTTGTAGTGTTAAATAAAAGGTTTTTTTTTTACCGTTTTTGAGTCTGAATTATGAACATTCATCGTTTGAGTTGAGCCGATTAAGTTACCAATTATGTTGTAAACTCATGAACACGAGTGCCTTGAATTCTGAAATATGCAAGTTTTTTATTATTACTTTGAAGGACATTGTAATTGGATTTGAGTGTAATTGAGTATATTGTAATTGGATTTTAAGTTAAATTTAGGTATAATTGGTGTAATTATGTAGTAATGTGGTTAGATGATCGTCGTAATTTGTAGATTTTATTGAATTAAGCGTAATAAAAACTACACTAATTAACTGTTAGGGATGTAATTATGTACTAGGAAAGGGAAAGAGAATTGATTTAAATTTTTTCATGAATATTATTATCATTATTGAGGGGACAGAATACGAGTGAGATGACCATGGATGGATATTGATATTTACAAGACCTATCAAATTATGTATGCTAAATGGACAAAGAAAGTAAATCCTGAGCGCCGTCCTCGGGGCAGTGGATTAATCTTTCAAAATCTGTTATTTATTTTAGTCCCAACACGATAGCCAACCATCGTGCTTAAATGATGAAGATTTTTGGTATTAAAGCAGTTGATTCTCTTGGTCATTACCTTAGTCTTCCGCTTTAAATTGAGAAAAATAAAACGAAGACTTTTGGTTATCTACGTGATAAGGTTTTGACTAGGGTTATTGGTTGGACTAAACGACTTTTATCCTACGAAGGTCGAGAGGTGTTTCTTAAAGCTATCACTCAAGCATTACCTCAATATGTTATGTATCTGTTGCCAGAGCATCTTCTCAACGAAATTAACGGAATCATGCGTCGATTCTGATGGACATGGAAAATATCTGAACGAGGTTAGCCTCTCCTTGCATGAGATGCTATCTGCAAGCCTAAGCGGGTGGGTGGGTTAGGGTTCCGCGACCTCCAATCTTTTAATTTAGCAATGTTAGGTAAACAAATTTGGAGGCTTATTAAGGTACCAGATTCATTGTTAGCTTGAGCGTTACGTGCATTACAGGCCCTATCGAATGCTTTCTTCTGGCGCATTACTTGTAACAATGATACCCGTGCGTTCAGGGATAGATGAGGTGGTATTAGGGTAACTATGCTTACAGGTACCTACGATAGCGACTTCGCAAGGGAGGCACGATGTGGAGACTTCATGATGCATGATCACCCTTTCTGGGATAAAGCGAAGGTCATGGCTTTTTTCCATCCTCAAGATGTGGATACTGTGCTTCATATGCTGATAGCTCCGTGTTTCCATGATAGCATTGTATGGAGCAATCATGATTCCGACAATTATTCGCTCAGGGTATTGGTGGCTCCAAACTCGTACCCATTCTTCTTAAGCTGTGTCCACGCTATGGAAAACCATGGCCAGGTTGAAGATACTCCCTAAAGCATGCATTGTTGCATGCCGTTTAGCGCATAGAGCCTTGCTCATGGGTTCTAGGGTCCGGGAGGCGGGCATTGGCGATGAACTATGTCCTTGTTGCTGACTTGACGTGGAAACAACTTTACATGCGGTACGAGACTGCAGTTTTGCGAAGGAAGTGTTGCAGCTTGCTGCTGTACCAGGTACGATTATCGATTCAGTTTGTACTTTTCCTTTACTTTGGTTAGAAACGGCAGTCACTATGTTAGATCTTGAGGCATTCGCAGGTTTTCTAATGATCCTATGGAACGTGTGGAATGGATGGAATTCGGTTGTTCATGATGGGCGGGTTCAACCTGCCTGGGTACTTGTAGCTAATGCTCGGGCACTTTACCGGAATTTTCTTGCTACTCATAGTTCTGTCAACTGCCGATTACCAGACCGTCTCACGATGAGCAGTGGATTCCTCCACCTGTTGGAACAATCAAAATAAATGCGGATGGAGCATTCGACCCAATCTCTCGTACGGTGGCGGTGGGGGTCATTGTGCGTGATGCGCGTAGAGCTGTTCTTAGAGGTCTAGCTCTTCCTTCTGCTGGTTGCTTCGACTCCGGGCTTGCAGAACTTCGTGGACTCGCTACAGCAGTTACCATTGCTCATGATGGATGACCGTGTTTGAGCTTAATTCTACCGTGGTCGTAAACAAAATTCATAGCTAATCTGTTGACGGTCTCCTTCAGGGATTCATATGCAGTCTATTTATCATAACCGTGTTAATTTCACCCAATGTAATATTGATTTTGTACGTAGAGAAGCCAATAGAGTGGCTCATGCAAGCCCTCCATTCTATGGTGTCTTTCTTCTTTGGCTCAGTTTATCCCAAGTTTATTGATCACGATGTAAAGACGGACATGTTTTAACATTGATTAATAAATCGTTGTGTATTCTTTTTCCCTTATAAGACCCAACCTTGTTAAAAGGGTTTTTTTTAACGAGGCCTCACTTTTTTTTCAAATAAAAAGAGTAAATTCTGAGCTAGCTTTTGTAAATAAAACTGTAAAGCCGAAAAAGGAAGTTTTTGCCAACAAAGTGAACACTCTACAACAGAAGAAAGAAGAGTTCAACCGCCAAAATTTATGAATTCAAAATTCCATTAAAAGTTTTCTAGAATTAAAAGCGAGTTGTAAAGGGGTGGCTGTCCTGTAACTGTAAATTACACATCCAAAACTTGGCCGTACACAAGTAACAACATCCGCCCCCTTTTTTCATTCTTAACAAAATAACTTGGCCATAGCTACTAGTTTTATGCATGGTCGAAGGCACAACCCTGTTGCTCCTGGGCAGCAGAACCTGGTTTCAGAGGTGAGGTTTCAATGGGAAGGCTCTTATCAGCAGGAGGCGGCAAGCACCTTTTTGAGAAAAATGTCGCTATACTTTTCATATGTCCACCACCCTTCTCTGTTAGTCGGGTCCGAAGATATGGTTCAGTTGAAAGAAAAATTAACAATTAAACTAGTTGAGACAAATCAGTTAAATACCTGGTGAAATCGGCATGCCAAGCTTCACTAAGATTTCTTTCTTCACCTGCAAAGGAAACATCGTTCCATGTAAGTAGAAAAACTTGCCTCCAACTCAAGAGGGGAGCTGACATTGCCATCAAAGACCATTTCTTTTTTTTTTGATAGAATATAGGCCTCATTAAAAACCCCCTTCATATCCTACATGTTATATAAGTAACATGAAGGACATAGGAAGGAGGAAAAGAGCGCCTCTGAATTATATTAATCTTGAACATAACATACAACCAATCCATAACCATGGTCTGCTTATAACATAAGACTTAACAACCTAAACATAAACTGCAGCACTAAAAACCAAACCCCTTTTAAAACACAATGAACACCCCAGCTTAATAACTATAACTCATAACCACAGATCATCCTATACCAGCTTTTGCCAACTCATCCGCTTCCCAGTTAGCAGCTCTCACAATATGTCTTGATATGATACCCTTTCCTTCCACATAAGTAGCTATGTGCAGTGTGATATCAGGACATATATAATGCCATAATGGTCAGCTTTGTTTGTCATTTCATGTTCAACAGGGATAATCAAAAGTAATCAGAACCTTTGCAGCTGTTGATAATGCAAGAAGAGAAATGAAATAAACTACTTAAAACCATTCTTCATAGTATCAAATCATTGATTTTATGTTTCCCTAGTCTATCACATCCTTTCTTCTTGGTATTAAAGGGGTTAATCAACTACTTAAAACCAAAGCATGGTATTATAGTATTCTCAAAAGGAGGTACAGTTCCATGTTCATCCATATCAATATCAAAATAAGTAAATTAATAGAGTCGCAAACCTGCCAACGATTATCAGAGAAATTGGAAATTTCTCGCACTTTATCTCTTAACTGAGACTTTGGTACTTCAGGAAACTTCTCTTGCAAAGACTCTAACAACCTTCTGATACCATGGGAGCATGACTGGATTGTAGATACCTAAAACCAGCAAGATCATCACAACAGTTTAGTAAGCTCCATCATAAGATCACCTCACAGCTGCTATCATTCCCAAATATGATTAGCAATGGACAGTTTACATTAAACGCTGGTTAGAATTGCAACTTACAATAAGAGGCAAATCTGAATTCAGAATTAAGGCTGGAGTTGCACCAGCCTTTCCACTTGACGTACAAGCTTCTTGATTGTCATGTTCCATGCTATCAATAGATATCTCTACGGATGGACCAAAAGGATATACCTGCATGCTCAGAGCTTGCAAGCATGTCTGCTCCAATTTAGGAGTACCATTAAGATCTTCAGCCATTAGAAGTGATGCCTTTTCATGCAATAAATTTAATATAATCAATGGTTGATTTTTCTGAAGTGCATGCTCAGTTAAATTGTTTAGATACTTTTGTTGCCGAAGCAATGCACCAAACTCCTCATTTTGCCCGTCTTGTTCGCTAATATTGGAAGTTTGGGTCTCCACAACTGGAACATCAGATTCCATCCTGTCAACTTCTACACCCTGCATATAAGCCTCTAATAAGCACTTCGATCCTGTGCTTTTTGCATTATGGTATTTCATTCTTATTTTTTTAAGCTAGTAACAAGGTAGAATATCTTCCATGTCAGTTTTTACCTCATTTTCCGATAGATATCCATCTGGTACAAAAAATCCATCTTCACTTTCATCTTCATCATCAGCTTTGGAGCATCCATCATAATTTTCCTCCTCTTCATCTTTTTCGCAATCCGAGAGGCTTTCACCAGGCTCCTCCTGTTAAATGAAAATGTTATTTACAGGTTTACATCTAATTTTCAGAGAATAACAAATTTACAATACCTCCTCCCATTCTTCATCACTATCCACATCATAGTCTAAATCTGGGTCCTTCCTCCATGGGCATCGTGGTCTCACTACATTACTGAAGATACAACAAAACCAATGTCACAAAGAACACTACCTAAATGACAATTTCACTCATATTGATATAACAATTGAGTTCTTTTATATTTAACAATGAACCTTTCAACCAGATCCTAATTTTCTTGGCTGAATATAGCTTAATTTAGAATAAATTAAAACAAGAGCAAGAAATAGGAGCCTACCTTTTCTTAGGCCAAATACCATAAAATGCAGGTCTGTTGCTTTTATCAAACTGTAACAACTGCTTCCTTACACAGCATTTCTTAACATCATGAACAGAAACATCAGCATCATTATGGCAGGATCTATCATCAGAATCCTGTTCTTCCCGGCCATCTGCAAGCCTTTCGACACTCGAGTCATCATGGGATAACTCTTTATTGACAGTCAACTTGAGTTCCTTAAACAATTCTCTCTTGGGTTTCATTCGCACCCCCCAACACTGTTTTTGATTCGAACGAAGAGAATAACCTAAGTGACGCCAAGAAGATAAGTGCAACCTGAGAAGTACAATAGTAGAAAGTTTACTTGAAATATAATATAATCCAAGCCTGTAAAATTTTACAAGTCAAAGAAAACAAAAAAAAAACCCACTTGCGAAGATCATCGGTATCAGCTTCTTCTGGAGATGAGAGAGTCATGTCCATGGAGAGGGTAATTGTTTCAGGCACATTTTCACTTTTTTTGGTGGATGGAGTATATATGGTTGGCTTAGTCATTTCCCCATTCTGACATGATGTTTTACATTTTTTGAGGAAGCGTTCCATAACTGAAACTTGTTTTTGTATTGAAAGTTTCCTTTTAAGTTCAGCCTCTTCCTTCTCACGTCGTCGTTGTTCTCTCTCAGCTTCTTCTTTCTGTTTTTGCAGCTGCTTCCTCATCTCAGCTTCCTCTCTTTCACGACGCTTTTCATCCTTTTCTGTTTCATTCTGCAATCGCTTTTTCTCCTTTTCCTGAAACAAACTACACTCGTGAAAATCCAAGTAAAAAGAATTGTAACTGCAAACATACTCAACAGAAGCACTGTCCTGGAATAATTCAGATTTACACACTACAATAGCACAGTCAATGCTAAAGATACAAAAACATTTGATAATAATCAGTTTCACACATGTACAAGCTTTGGAATTTTGCAGATACATTTTGCAAGATTTCCTTCTGGAGTTCGCGGTCAGCTTTCTTCTTCTCCTTCTCAATTTCCCTTTTAGTTCTCTCCAGTTGCTTTATTAACAATTTCTCTTTCTCAGCCCTATTACAACAGATAAAACTTTTACCGTTTAGGAAATAATTCAAACACAATCTGTAGAACTGTACAAAAACATACATCTCAGCACCAGTCTCCTGAAACATGCTACTCATTAACAAGCGAATGTCCGCCTCGCTTAATACTTTGGCTAGCTTTTCTGATGCTTTCACGAAATCACGCTTGCAGTTATTACCATTCTCCTGCTTTTGTAACAGAGATAACATGGCTGAAATGAACCACAAATGTCATTAGCTACTTGAAGAATAAAATTAAGGCATTGCAATTGAAAAGTTTCTCATTGTATTCCATGCGAGAACATTAGAGAACGAATTAAACATAATTGTAAATCAATTAAAAGAACATATCCGTTAGTTAAAAGCAAAGCACATGACAGCAGGGATGGACCAAGGGGGTGCTGGGGTACAATCTCACACCAGGAAATTTGGAATTTCCACATAATTTAGGTATTTTCTTTATATTTTCTATTGATAATCTAACTTCACACCCTCTAAAATTATATAATTTTGCACCCCAAATTTCTAATTTAAATTCATAATTTTGCACCCCTAATATAAAATCAAGCATCCGTCCGTCCATGCAAGTATGTATGGGAGATGGCCATCAGGGCAATACAAGAGAATCAAATAACAAAGAATTCGGATAAATTTCTTCTTCTTACCAGAAACAGCAGTGATCGTCTCATTAATCTTCCTTCTACAAGTACGCCGAGCTTTAATTGTGACTCTCTGAGCTTTTGGTATAAATTTAGTATCTCTTATCTATCACATATATATAAGTACGCGTGTAAATAGGTTCAATACAAAAAGAAAAACAAAAGAAAACGGAAAAGAAAAAAAATACCTCCCAACACCAAAGAGAAGAGTGAGAATCATCCTCCAAAACATCAGCATCTTCATCACCCAATCCATATTTCACTCTCTGACCTACGAATAACACGGCGCTTTTCACCGCGGCTGAACTCACATTTCCAATTCTGTCCTTGACCTTATCATGAATCGCCTCCACCAATTTCGACAGCGGCAAGTCGCTCTCCTCCATCAGAACCGCCACCACTGAAATTAAAGCACAACCGGAGTCGACCGATCTCATGTTGTACCCCATTCCGAAACCCAATTTCTGCTCCATCATCTCTCGGTAACACCTAAAAAGCCCCTCCATCTCTTGCTCCAATCCCTTGATCTGTGCCTCTTTTTGTTCGCCGCTCAGTGTCTCCGAAACCCATGACGATCTCTTTCGCTTCTGGCCCTTCTTGCGTTGATCTTGGCCGCCCCTTATGAGATCTTTCGGATCATGAACTACGTCGGTTATCGGCGCTGAAGTCGCCATTGTAAGTTTGTAACCCGAACACACCAAATCCAAATCCAGTAAAAGGAAAATGAAGCTGGGTTCTCGCTCTTCTTTTTTCCCCCTTGAAGAAAGAAATAGTGACGGCCACTGGTAAAAGAAAAGTATTATAATATTAAATGAAAAAGTTTTTCCTCATCGTTTTTCCCGCCTATGACATTTTGGCGCGTTAATGGTGAGCGGTCACATTAAAACGACGGATAACTGAACGGAGGGAGTCGAGTCAATTTTTAAAATTAGCTAACTCTTATTCTCATATGTAATGTGATAAGAGAGAGGTAGGATAGTAGGTTGTCCCTAACACCAGGTTGAGAGCAGTTTCTGTAAAAGACATCCAAATTATGAAATATTATCCGTTGGACTCGATCCTACGACCCCAAGATTAAAAATCTTGTACTCTACCAGACAGATCCCTCTAATAGTGGGATCGATTGAAATTAATCTTTTATGTTTAAATGAAATCAATTTAATTGAAGATAAATCATAATTTTATGTATGGAATTTTATAAATTTTATAATTTAAATGTAAATAAAATATATTAAATAAATCATATGAGTTTTTTTAAAACTTTATTTTATTTTTGACTAATATAAAATTAAATATTATAGGGAAATGATTAATTTAAATCAATTCGTATATTAGAGGGATTTAACAAGTAGTTTCACCTATAAAAAGTACAAATCGGTCTCCTTCTCGCTTAAACAAAATTTTCTGCCCATGCATTTTGCAAAAATGTAGGGCCCCTATTTGTTAGTTCGCGAAGACATTTTGGTAAAAATGGTGAAAATTGAAATCATAGGCAGAGAAATGGTAATGATGGTAGATTAATCTAGGAATGACAACCTGCCTGGTTTTTAAATGATTTGATTTAACTTGAAAATATTTATTATCATTCGAATTTGATTTGATTTGATTTGAAAATTTATAATTTTTACCAGATTCAATTTAACAGAAAAAATATTTTTTTTATCTAACTCTTATCTGACCTGAATTTTAGAGTATTGTTAGACTTGATCTGATAAAAATAATGATTTAATTAAAATAATAATATTTTTTAAAAAATTACATTATCATCCTCATGTCGGTTGGAGTTTTTTCACCCTCTACCCGAACTCGAACTGATCCTGCCTTTTAAAATATCCAACCCAACCCGACCTGAACCCGTTTAAAAAAAATCCAATCATACTAAGTCGGGTCGAGTAAGAACCATCGAATTTGGGTTAAATTATCATCTCTAAACTAATTCGAGTTAACCTTTAATAAAATTTATAAGCTAAAAAGGTGATTTAAGAGGATAATTACAACTATTAATAAATAAAATAATTTAATATTATCTAGCTCTAATATATTATTTATAAATAAGATAATTAAAATTTAAAACTTTAGTGATGAAATAAGATATTATTCTCTTTAAATCATTTAAATTTAAATAATTGTATCTACATAATAAGTATGTATGTTGTCAATAAATTAATCAAAAATAATATTGTATGTTGTCAATAAATTAATAAAAAATAATATCTTTTTCAATCCCATAGAATAAAGGCACAATATTATTATTGTGTTTTTCAATAAAAAAATTAAAATTTTCAATGAGTATGATTTCTACAAAACACATATTTCTCCATATATAAATAACATTAAAATTGGGTTAATAATCCAATTGGGTTAATAATCCAAGTGGATTAATTACTCGTTTCAATAGGTCAATTCTAACATTAATTTCTAAACTACGACATTTGTTATAATATAAGACAAACTCGTCACGTTCACATGACAAGTTTACCCGAATATTATTTTTTAATGGATCCATGTCTGTGGGGCCTGTGGAACCTAATTATTTAATATATTTTTTAAAACTCGTCATGTGAGTGTGATGAGTTCTACTTAAAATTAAAACTTATAGTTGTTAGCTAAACGTTAGGCAACAGACAGATTTCAACGGCCATAACAGCTAGTCCATTGGAACTCGTCATGTGGGCGTGACGAGTTCCATGAACTAGTCATTTATGGCCTTTGGATTTGATACTATATATAGGAACTTGGGGTTTAAGCTTTGTATTGTGATTTGTTGAGGAGAAAAATAGATGATTGCGAGAAAAAAATGTTTTTTTAAAGATTTTGCGGTAAAATGTCTACCCGATAATAAATGTTACATTATGATAATGTTCGTATTTAATCACTTGAAGTGACTGGTATAAGATTTATTTTTATATTTTTAAAAGTTCAAATTATAATACTAATGCTGTTATTATGAAAAATTGTTGGGATTTGCAGAAGCTTTAATCAACAACCGAAAGAGTTTGCCAAGAGGGGTCGGGATAATTATTGTGTTTAGGGAGTAAGGAGATTGAAAGATAGAAAATTTGCACATCGATTTATAGTGGTTCGACTTCTCAACCAAGTCTACATCCACTACCTTAGCTCCTCACCAAGGATTTTCCAACAAATTCACTAATTTGTTCTTTCTTTTTGCAGGACAAAGAGATAACCTTTACAACTCCCTAGTTTTTCACGGGCTAAACTAGAACCTTATCCCTAGCTTTTCAAGGGCTCAGCTAGAACCTTTCCTTTTACAAAAGGATAAAAGAAGTAAACAAGAAAACCTCTCAAATGTAGGGTGTTTACAAAATTTAAGCTCACAAGAACAAAATATTTATAAGAGAATAGAAAAGTAAGATTGAAAAACTCTTCTCTTGTGTTTGAATGCTTGGATAGGTGTTCTCTCTCTTCTTCAAGTGTCGTCAGCTTGTATTTATAGCTTGAAATAAGTTTAAAGTCGTATATAGCCAATGTGGATGTTTTGGAGCCGTTTGAGGATTGTTTTTCTGCAAAAATAGGATGCCCATAACAGGGGGTATCAGTACCCCTTCATTAAATTCAAATTAAACTAGCTGTTACTAGTCGTTGCAGTCAGAGTGTATGGATACACTGCAGGGTGTATCGGTACACCAGTGTATGATACACTCATATGGGTATCGGTACCATTTTTGCAATCGGTGTTTGAGCAGTCATAGGTGTATGAATACACCTGCAGGGTGTATCGGTACACCAGTGTATGGATACACGGCTGGGTGTATGGATACCCTTTAGCATTTTTGCTCAAATCTGAATTTAATGGACTTTGAATTATTTTTGAAACCTTTTTAAAACTTTGAATAAAATCAATTCAAGTCCAAAAATATTTTTCCTTAAATTTGTTATATCGAAACATAATTCAACAAAAATTTATTAATTGTTTGAGTCTTAAATTGTAGAAAGAAGAACGAGGCATATGTCATCGAGGAATTAAAAATGATGAGTGTTGAAAACATTTTGATGTTTTGATATAACAAATTAAGATAAATGAATTTTAAGATTTTATAAAATATTTTCTAAGTATATTCAATATAATTATTCGAATATCAAAATATTACTCCAAGTCTTTCAAAGTTCAATTTAAATCCTTACTAAAGTGTAAAGTTGTGTTTTATACTTAAAATATTTTTGAAACAATTTTCATAAAGTATTTCGAACAAAAAACGAGCCAAAAATCAAATTTGTGAAGGGATGCACCGATGCACTCATTGATGCATCGATGCACACACCATTTCGAATGCATTTTATGCATCGATGCACTGTCATGCATCGATGCACTGCCATGAATCGATGCACTCAGTTTTTTATGAAAACATCGAATGCATTTTATGCATCGATGCACAGACCATGCATCGATGCACTCAAGCTTGTTTGAAACATCGAATGCATTTTATGCATCGATGCACCCTTAGTGCACCGATGCACTAAGTGTTCCAACGGTCGAAATATTTGAATTTTACACTTGATGCATCGATGCACCTTGACTATGCATCGATGCACACACGCTCCCAATTGATTTTATTAATTGTTTTCACACTTAAACGACTCTATTGACTCCACTAATCATCCCCAACATTCAGAATCAATTGAAGGAGTATTTAAACAAGATTTGGAGCCATTGATCAAGCAAGTAACAAGAATCAAGAGAGAATCAAAGAGAAAGCATCAAACCTCAAGTTTGAGCAATTTCAAGCCAAATTTTATTCAATATTCATTATTGCTTTCAAGAACACTTATTGTGCTCAATTGTATTATTCTTGAGTGTTCTTTCTTTGTTCTAGAATTGTGCAAACATCTTGCCTTGTGAGGACTTTCTTGTAAGTTTGCAAAATTTGTATTGTTCTCTTTGGGAGAGAGTGTTCTCAAGAATTTGGGGTATAATTCTTGAGTGATTTGTAAGGTTACTCTTTGTCCTTAAAAGAAAGACAAATTATTGAATTTGTGGAAAATCCTTAGTGTGGATAGCTAAGGTAGTGGACGTAGACTTTGGTTGAGAAAGTCGAACCACTCTAAATCACTGTGCAAATATTTTCAATTTTCTGTAAAAGCATCCACCGAATTTTTAATTGCCAATTCACTCCCCTCTTGGCTATATTCGTCGATCGATTAACTCAATAATTGGTATCAGAGCCTCACTCATTTGAAGGTTTAATCGCCTTTTGAGTCTATTCGGGAAGAGTTACATTGATATTCAAGTCATCAATGGCCGACGCTTCAAACTCTGAATTCGTTCTCGATTCAATGCCCGTCAACAAGCCTTATTTCTTCAATGGAGCTAACTATGCTTATTGGAAGAATAGAATGATGTACTTCGTTCAAGCAAGTGACATGAGAGCATGGAATGTCATAGAAGATGGATTCATCAAACCTTCCACTCATCAAAGATTGTGGAGTGAATGAGAGACAATAATGTTCCAGCTCAACTCCAAAGCCATCCATATTATTTTTTGTGTTCTTGGACCAGATGAATATGGAAGAGTTTCATCTTGTACAACTGCCAAAGAAATATGGGACAAACTACAAGACACTTATGAAGGCACCGACGAGGTAAAATAATTTAAAATTAGTCTTCTAACTTATAGCTATGGAAATTTCAGGATGAAACCAGATGAAGACATTAAAGTTACGATGGATAGATTTTCCGTGATTGTCAATGGTCTCAAATCATATGGAGAGATCATTCTAAATGAAAAGCTTATGAGGAAGTTGGTTTACT